AGCAGTGCTGGCTAGAGGAGAACATAACGAAGGCGGCTCGCATCTGAGCCTTTCTGTCCTGCTGTGGGTACTCCTACCCCATCTGCAGTGTCCTGGCTGTTCAGCTGCTGGCACTGTGACTGCTGGTGGAGCTCAATTAAGTCCTTGCTCGGAGGGCAAGTGCTCTGTATGCAACAGAAGCCAGGTCAGCACAGTCTCATTCAGCTGAGGACACGATCCAGGATTCACCCTTCGATTAGACTGAACTGGTCACGATGGCTCAGTCAGTGGCAGCAGCAGCCAGCTCCCCATGAATGAATACAGGCATCTGATAGGATCTCCATTAGCCCGTGCTAATGTAAAGCCCTTCATTTCCTTTGACTCTGACCAGGTAAGGTCCCAGTTTGTTACATCCACAGTGTGATGGGAGGCAGATCTGCTGCCGCTCTGCATGTTGCCCATTTTATGTGTGTGGCTTCGTTTCTTATTCACACATTATTTCATGAAGGGGAAGGGAGAGAGAATGTGGGACAAGTCCAGGGGACAGAACTACTGCAGAATGTGCTGGTGCTGGTGCACCCGGTCTCGTGTTCATAGCCAGCACTCCAGGTATTCACACAGACATTGAACAGAGCTCTGTTTTGTGGTGCAGAGCAAAACAGCGTGGGTGGCTGCATCTCAGAAACCGTGTGCACTGTGCTATAAGCTCCTGTTTGCACATCAGATAGCATGGAGGATGGCTTCAGGAGAATTACCTATGGACTATGAGCATTGTATCCCATAGGAAAAACAGCCTGGCACCACCTCTGCTCTCCCTGGAGTATTTAGAGGCATAATAGCAGCAAACAGTCTCTGACAGGTTACTGGAGCTGTGTGTCACTTGTCACTGTGTTCTGGTTGCTGGATGCTTCTCTTTTTACCACAGCTCGGAGCCAGTGTTTTTCAGCTTTAGTGACCTGTTGCCAAATACTCAGGAAGTGTGTTCTCCACAGCTTGCAAATTTTCTGCTTCTCAGCTGGGTATTTTAACTCCTTAATTCCCTGTGGGCTATGAGTAATCATGGAAGATGTTGGAAATAACTCATCCACAAACTGTAATTGCTGCCATGTGCAGCCACAGCGCTTTTCCTCACTGCTGGGTTTCTGGTGCCCCAGATATGTCTGCTAAGACTGTATTGCTACCAGCATCTGGGGTTGGGCTGTCAGGTGCACCCAGCTACGCCTGTATCTGTCTCCTTGAAAGGGAGAAGGACGCTAAAAAGGTGGACTTACTGTGCCCATGTTGTTGAAGATCTTTCCTTTGTGTTTACCAGCTGGTTGCAATTGGATATAATGGTCCTGTTGAAAGTGGAGGAGTGGTAGAGCGGCTGCAGGCCACTTTGCATTCAGCCCTGCTTTTTTGTCCAGTTTTGTGTTTTTCAAGGCTCATTTGTTCCTTTTGCACCAGACCTTCATTTTGCCTGAACGTTTCCATACTACTTGTACTGATTCCTTGGTTATGTTGTAGTGCTGGTTTTATCACCTCCTCTCAGAGAAGCTTCCTTTGAGAGAGAAAAAGGGGTCTGGGGGCACTTGTACTATGTGAAGAAGTGCTTTGTTGCCTGGGAGAGCTAATTGTTTGGGTTTCCCTTTCCAGGACACACTAGCACCAGAAGAATGGAAGAAATGGGGAAAAACAGAGCAAATGCCTTCAGAATAGAAGTGAAAAAGTAATTGAAAGAGCAGAAGAATGAAAGCAGCAGCAGATTTTTTTTATATATATATATATGAAGTCAAGAGGGTTCCAGTTAAACTTTTTTTAAAATCTTGATTTTTTTCACTGTTGTGTTCATGCTACTTGAGTGTTTTTCATATGAAACCAGAAAGTCCTTTCTTCCTTGCATCCCCGTCCCCCTTCTCTGCTCTTAGAATGTTTTAATTTCTTTTTGAAAAAGAAGGAAAATGTAATTCTGCCTTTCCCCAGGTGCCCTCTCCTCATACTAAACAGTTTGTGAATAAAGAGGAAAGAACGGTCCTGAGTTCTGTTTTGGCTGTTTCAGAACCTGTGGTTGGAAGTTGGGCTCACATGAACAGAGCTTTTTCTGGTGGGTAATTTTTGTGTATTAGTCACTGCGGTGAGGAGCTTCCTGTTCTTTTCTGCCCTTTCCCAGAGGTACACATTTATTTGGGGACACTTCCCACTCCTGCCTGTCCTCTGCGATGCTTTCATCGGCGTTTCTCTGCTAACCAGTGTTCTCTGACTCAGGATGGAGCCAGGCCTGGCTGCGTGGAGCTGCTGGGCTGCTCCCACCGGAGTCCCTGGGTGTCCTTGTGGGCTTCCTGCCTGCCTGTGTCTGCCCCTGCAGCTTTGCGGGACCCTTCTCACTCACGTTTATTGTAACACTGAACTTTGAAGTTGCATTCAGTAATTCCGTATCGTCGAATTAATGACCTGGGAGGTAGAAGATGAGGATGTTGGGGAATGGAGCAGATTTCTGGAGAGTTCTCCTGATGAACAATTTCCACATGGAAAACTTAGCAGTTGCTCCTGGCTCCCTCCCCTGCATCCATGCGTTGGCTCCCGTTTGTCCCATGTCAGACGGGTTTCTTTAAAGACCTTTTGGCAGAGGAGCTTCATGAAACGTCTCTTGGAAATCCGAGAGAATTGTATCAGCCAGCAAATATGCGGCTGAGGGGCGCGGGGCCAATTCCTGCGCAGCACCTCGCGTGTGTGAGGCTCTGCTTTTCACAGCCGCCTCCCCCTCTGCAGTCGTTCACGCTTAGCTCACCGTGTCTGTTCTTTCTCATACCGGTTCCTGCTGAACTCATACCTTTGTTCATGGTGAACTTGACGCTGAAGATAGTGCGGGTTTGATGAACTCTCCTGCACTCCTTCAAAAGCCTGATCTCATGCTGGATTCAAGCCTTCTGGGAGTAATGGGATTGTAACCAAGAAATAGTTAAGCTACTATTTGTGGTAATATCCTCTGGGATTCCTTTTCTGTTGAGTTCCTTGGAGCCTCGTGTTTGATTTTGTTTTACTACACGCCTATCAGCTTTGTGTCAAACCTTGTTTTTCTGCTGCTGCTCCCGGCAGGACAGAGATCCCAGTTCTGGACTCTCCAAAGATCTCTGGCACGTTCCCAAAGGAGAACCAATGCAAAAAGACAACCGTGTGGTTCTGCTGTGATGCATTTCCTAAACTCTGCTTGTTGCTATTGGGTTTTTTTCTACTTTTTTGTTAGGAAAGGATGCATTTATTCTTCTGGCCTTTTATTCATCAGACACTTTGTTTTGTTTCAAACATTTAATCTGCCAGAGTTTGAGCGTTTGTTTCCTCGCTTTGACAGCAACTTGAACGTTCAAATGAGCCTTTTTTTATGACACTTGCAATTTTTTTTTGTCACCTTGTTTATTTTCAGCTATAGGAATCTGCTGTTTTGGATGGGGTTTTTTGTCTTTTTTTTTTTTTTTTTTGCACATTCCTTTCCTTGGAGTGTTCTGTCACAGAATCACAGAATCGTAGGGGTTGGAAGGGACCTCCAGAGATCATCGAGTCCAACCCCCAACACACCAGCCAGCCAACATGCCTGAGGCCATTACAAGCACTCTTTGAACTGGGACTTCAGATGGTTCATTCTGTTGCAGGTCATTCTCCAGCTGCACTGTGAAGCAGAAGGATGTCTGTCTTGCCGTGACAGTTCCCTGTCTCTGTAAGGGTTACAGATGACCCATTAGAGCACTTACTGCTGTCACAGCTTCACTCATGTACAACATCCCCTTGTTCCTTTCCAACCTGCTGGGCAGCTGGTACTTTTTTTGTAGTGCTGGAATTGGAATCTGAACAGAGAGAATGTGATCTGTAGGGGTTTGGTGCAAGTAGGAGCTCATTTCCACGTGTGGTGGAGCCTACTATAGTAGAACGTGGTCACTTCAGGGACAAGGAGATGATATGTATACTGCAGATGAGCAAGGAATTGCTCTGGTGCAAGGAGGATACTTTAAGAGGCCCCAGTGTGTTTGTGTGCAGGTGTATTTCCAGCCTGGTCCTGAGTGGTTGGCACTGGTACTTTGCGAGCACAGCTCTGAGCTGTATTCTGTGCTCCTGCCAGCCCTCCTTGAGTGCTGTCTTCCACTGTGTGCCCACAGTCAAAAAGTCAGTGTCTCAACAGACAAAGAGTCATCTTGACCTGCTGTTGAACAGGTTTATTTAGAACAACTTTTATTCCCTGCTAATGATGGGAGTGCAGACCCCATCCTGACATTATTTACATTGCAGAAGACGTAAATATTACACAAACAGTAGAAGAATTCAGGTGACAGGGAAGGAAGTCGCTGTGTGAGAGATAACTTGTAAGTGATAGTGCAAACATTCACTGCTTAACCCTATGGCCACGGGGGAGTTCAGAGCCACTGCATGGCACATGGAATTAAAACAGTGTCAGCCCAATCTGATGCACAGAGATCTCTTAACTCTTGCAGAGTAAAGCTGTACTTTGGTTTAAACACCTTGAGTTTGATCAGTGACTGCTTATAATAAGCTTTGTATATTCAATTTTGCTGCCAGGGCTCTATCCAGGAGCCAACGGCCCACAGCAGTGCTTGTGATGAGTGGCAAACGTGTGGATTCATGTCTGACCTCACCCTGTGCTGAACTGTGGGTGGTTGTGCCATCAGCATCTGTTTAGAGGAGGCTGTAATCAGTTCCCTGAATCGCCCAAAGGTGCTTTTTGGTGGCCTCATGTACATTAATTGGGCCCTCAAACAGAGTGATGATTTGGCAGAAGTTTTGCTGCTCTTCATGATCTGAAAGCTTTAGTTAGTAATTAATGTCTCCAGGATTACAAGTGCCTGGTTATTCTAGCAGCCTGAGGTTAAACCACAGAGCTTTGGTGGTTTTTTTTTTCTGATTCACTACACAAACCAGTGTTTAGAGAGGGGAATTAAATAGTAAAGACTGAAGTAAATGAAGTAGTGCATCAGAACTGCATTCCTTTCAGCAGATTTGAGGAGCGTATACATCAGTCTCCAGCTGGTCACCTCCAGGAATGTCTTCATTGCTGTGAATGGTTTACTGTACAGTTAGATCCACGAGCTCTGAATCATTCTGGACAGAAACAGGAGGTAAAGAGAATTAAGAAAAAGCTACTGGTGAGCACGTGCAGATTTTTTTCCCCCCTTTTTTGAGTATTTTTTTGGCTCATCTTACTTATGGGAAGAACCACCAACACCGACATGGTAAGCAAGCAAGATGCCAAAATGTCACACTTTCCAGCTGTATCCATAGGCATCATTTCTTTTGTACCATTCTGGTCTTTCCCTGCTACCCACAGCCCCTCTCTGTGTAATATTCGCACTGGTCTCTTCACACTGCTTCATAACATGCTGACTATGGGTAGGCAGGCTTAATTTTTGAGATAGAGGAATAAGATGGGGTTGCTGCATAATGGAAAACACATTTGTGTGAATGAAGATGATAGCAGCAATGGCCTATCTGGGGAGACTCAGTCCCACAGGGCTGTCAAGGTTTAGAGCATATTTCTAGTTTCAGATGATTAATTTTAGGACTGGGGAGTACAGAACATTGTGAGGCTTCATTTCCCATTCAGTGCACTGAGAGGGAAAACCTGAAATGTTCTGGACATCTAAAGGTAGGTTCTGCTCCCTGGGAGAATTTTGTTTGCTTCTGCCATGGCCTTGATACTCAATGCCTCAGCTTTATGAGGTTGCTTATGGCTGCTGTGAGTCTGTTCCCAGCTGCACCAGTGGGCACTGGAGTTCTGCTGGGCTTGCTGGTAGATCTGCAGTAAGGGCTGTGCCTGTGGGTGAGCGCTGGAGCAGTCAAACCAGCTGGCATCCTGGGGAAACATGTGCCTGGGTCTTCACAGCACTGATGGTATCTGTTCAGTCTAATGGGTCTTTCGATATTTAACAAAACTCATTGGGAGTTTTTTCCCCTGAAATTGCAACAGATGCTCTGTCCTTTGTGAACAGCAGCGGCAGCTGACTTTGCCAAGGCAGAACCTTCCAGCCATGTGCTGGGTGCTGTGCTTACAGAATTGCACAGGGGATGGTACTCACCAGAGCATGGGGAGACGAAAAAGGGAAAAATATTTACATGAACTTAGCCAGGGTGCTGGGAAACCCCTCTAACCGACTGTTGGTCACATCCTGAGGCCTGTGAAAGAACAGAGTAGGATGAATGATGCCTTAACTGGGATCAAGATGATTTTTTTTCCCCCACTGCTATTTGGCTGAACTCTGGATGTGAGGAGGCAGCGTGGGGAGGTGCTGCCGAGCTTTAGATGTGAGAGGCAGCACAGGGAGGTGCTAGTGCTGCAGGCTGGCCAGAACTGTGCCTTACCTGCACCCCACCTGCCCAGGAGTGAGCTTGTGCATACAGGTAGGAGCTTTATTCTTTCCCTGGGTGTATCTGAAAGATGGCACCTGGTCCAGTAGCTTCACTACTGCTTCATGTTTGCCAGACAGCAAAAAGGGTCTTGTCTCATTCCTGCAGCAAGCAGATAACAAGGTGGCTCCCGCCTACCTTTGATGCTGCAGCATGGCTCCCAAGAAGTCCCTCAGTACCATCTGCTGGTGGTAACGGCTGTCCATCAGGATGCTGTCTGACTGGCGCCTTGTCAGGAGCTCGTGCAGCCCTTCTCCTGGACTGCTCTCGCTGTTTCTGTCATGTGAAGATGAGAAACAGATCTGTGTGAGGTGCTTTCAGTCCTTTGCTCCGATGGCTCTGGCTGAGCAGCATGGCAGAGAGCCTGCTGGGCCTGGGGCTGTTCTGTTCTCCCTGAGAGAGCACAGCTGCATTTGCCCAGAGCTGGCTTGCACCTGCCTAGCTGGGCTTATCTATCTAAGCAAAGCTACCCTAGTGCTGATAGAATGGTGGTTTTCTATGTTCAAACAGGCCTGGAACAACAGCATAACAATGGGTGTTTCCTTCCAGTGAATGATGGTTGCAGCTGTTAATCTGCAGAGGCTGCTGCTTGTTGCTCGTGCGGTAGAGCTCTCAGCTGATGTGACACTGATAGGCTTGGAGGGAAGGATTAATTGGGCCGCTTGATAATCGCTGTGATTAGAGGCATCTTAGAAGTGGGGATACAGAACGTCCTTTGGGTGCAGCGCAGCAGCAAAGATTGCTTCTGTTGCAGCAGAAGGCAGCTATTTCTGCTACGTGCACAAAATGTAGTCAGCAAAGCATTGTCCCAAGGACATCAGACCCCTCATGCCTTACCTGAGTCGCTTGCCAATGATGGTCTGTAAGAATTTGCGGGCAGAAATCTGCCCCAGGAATTTGCGGTAGTTGTCAGTGAATATGGCATCAGCATGGCGCTGCATCCTGGGGGGGAAGACAGGAAGAGGTGTGCTCAGCGAGCCCAGGGTCAGCCTTCTGCTGCAGAGTGGGTGCTTCACATGTCTTAACAGACCAGATGTAACTGCTGAGCTCAGTGCCAGGTGAATGTACTGAATACTGAACTGAGTTAGTGGTGGAGGGTAAAACGACGTGGGAGAGTTTGGCTCTGACAGGGTGGCATCCAGCAAAGCAAAATAAATCTTTTGATCGATATTTGTACACAACTAAGAAGTGCCAGCAAAGCAAAGGTGACGTCAAGGAACAACGGGAAGAGGAAGAACCAGACTGGGAAAGGGCTGAGCTGGGAGTGGGAAGTTCCTGTGCTCTACAGCAGCACTGTGGTTTTGTGGGACACCCCTGTCCCAGACACAGGGTGAGCCTTGGGCAGTTCTCCAGCCTGTGCCTGGACACAAGCTACAGAAAATCCACAGGTTAGAGAAGCATAAACCATATGCATGGCCTTCAGTGCTGCAAGGATGAATTGGTTTTAAGACAACCAACCATCCCTTGTCTCTTGGTAGGAGAGGAAAGGAGAAGCTCTAATAGCCATGCTGTGGGTTTCCAGAGCTTGCTGAAAGACAGTGCTCCCTGCAGAAGTGCTGCAGCAGGGCTGAGAGGTGAGGTACAAACCTTTTCTCAGTGGGGTCTGTTAACAAACCCTCCTCATCCTGTTCCTCTGCTGAGGGACTATGGCTCTGCAGCAGGCTGTGGTCCAGGAGATGGAAGTTCACAGACTTGCCAGTAACAGGTCCTGGGCTGTACCTTCAAAAAAAAATCCCAAAGCATGCTGTGAAATGTGCTCAAATACCAGTCAGGGGTTGGTCATCTTGAGCATTACTCTGCATTCTGCTTTTTCTTTCTTTCTCCTTTTTCTTACCCTACCTTTTCAGTAACATCGATTTTGTACATCGCTCTCTCCAGTCAGAAACTGCCCTGAGGCAGTGAAAAGGCAATTGGTAAAGCTTCCCAGAATACGTTTTCTGAGCTGCCAGCAATGTCAAGCAAAACTCCAGCAATTATGGCATTGTCGTGCCACGGCTTTAGCACAAATATAAAGCATTTTCTATGAGACAATTACAAATCTACATTACAGAGCCCTATGCCCAGTTTTGTACATCCATCAATTTGTAATGGTAGGAAGTAATATTAACTTTTCACAGTTGGTAAGGAAATACTTGAAATATTAATATTAATTAGCAGCTGTTGAGTTCCCATACTGAATCTGCAGTTCTGATTTCAGTGCAGGTAGCTTTCAGGCACAAATTTCAGTCGGTGATGGAGCTGGTGGCGCTGGCTGCTCTGGAGATGGCTAGATTTCCCTTTATAGGACAGAGCATTCAATGCCAAAACCAATTGCTGGGCTGAAATATTCCACATTAAGTGTCTGACATTGTGTCAGTTCTTGGGAATCTACCCATAAACTAGCAGCATTCCCAAAAAATTAAGCCAGAGTAAAGACGTTTTCAGCAGTGGCTTTCAGAAGGTCTGGCAAGCTTCATTTGACATGTGCTTATTTTGCACAAGGTCAGAGGTGAGGCGGAGAGTTACAGTATGGGTGAAACGTTCAGCATCTTACCTGAGAGCTGGGTAGAGAGGAAAGGAGATGGAGCTCGCAACTAAATGCAGGAACAGGAACAGGGTGGCCTTATCCAGCATCTTCCACCCTTTGGAGTCACCTGGAACGTGGAGCAGTGACTCAGTGGCACAAGTTGCCCAGAGCAGCCTCCCCACCAGCCCGCATCACTGGACAACAACCTCTATCGTGCTCCCTGTGACCCCTCCTGCCCAGCTATGCCCAGAGGAGCCCCCTCTCCACCAATATGAGACACCTGTGCAGCTCTCAGCACTTAGGTGAAAGCAGGATGGACTGCACCACCAGTGTGTGCTGCACACAAACACTGCAGTGTTTTGCATCCTGAGGCTGGCTGTGTGTCCAGCATCCCCGACGGGCGGCTCAAAGCAAAGAATCGCCCAAGGTTGCACAGCACCAGCAGGTGAACTCAATGCTTTTGTTACTGGAAGCAAGAGATGGTGGGAGAATATTTCTGTTAACATCATTCCTCGGTTTTGATCAAAAGCAATTGATCTTTAGCTCAAAGAAGATTCTTTAAGAAAGCAGAATGTGGATGGAGATCTTTAAAACATGAAGTTTCCTTGTTCAGCTGTGTTATTTTACACAAGAAAAGGGCAGAAAGATGTTTGATCTCCATAAAAGAGAAAAGCTCATGTTTTTAGGGGGGAAGAAAAGAAACTTCCAAATGTTTAACAATACTTGCAACAAAAGCAGTTTCCAAGTGGAAAGGATCTAATTGGGTTTCTAATTTCCCCAGTGAACCTTCCAAGCAGTGGATTTTCTGGATGATGGTGGCAGGAAGCAGCTCTGATGGAAAATGTCAGCAGTGAGCACTGATTCATTGCACAGATACAGCTGCCCACATTCAGCTGAGTGCACACTGGACAGCATGGGGAAGTTTCTCTACGCACTGGTGTGCTGTGTGTGTGTGCAAGGGAGCATGCTGCTGAGAGAGTAACAGGAGGAGGGGGGGTGTGCTGAGTGGCAGCCAGTCGGCACAGAGGTGCACTATGAATTGGGGTTCCTTAGTGCAACCCTTCCTCGTTCTGGACCCTGTTCAGTAGTGCCAACAGCCCCGATTTGAGCAGAGCTGGGTGCAGGAGGGCACCCTTCCTCCAAACCTGCTCTAAAGGAGGGCTTCACCCCTTGGATGGCCAAGGAATGCCCAGAAGCAGCGTAAGAGGTGACTGAGAAACACAGGACTCTTGCTCTGGATTTCCATTAGTTTTCTATCTTTCACTTGAGCTTGGAAAAGCATGTCCCTCTAGTGCCTCTCTCCCTTAAATAGCTCAAATTCCAAATCAGAATTACTGATTACTCTATATGTGTTGGAGGGTACCAGGAGACCATGGCACCAGCATCTAAAGGACATGCCAACCAGGAGATGTATTCAGTTCCAAGAAAAGCCACTATGTGAGCTGAGAAGTGAAATATCGATGTAAATGAGAAGAAAGTCTCACACCATGTTGTCCACTTCCCTTTTTTTCTTCCTAGGATGCAGCCTTGACTGCCTGTGCTGGATTTTCCCCCAGAGCCACTTTTTGTCCCTTTGAGATTCTTTCTTCTTTCTCTGCTTTTCATGTGATTATTTTGTTTTGTTTCACCTTTCTTCCCATCTTGCTTTGCCTTTTCTCCCCTTGCTGCCATCAGCCTCTCATCCCTTCAGCTTTTTTGGGTATGTCTGCCTCCTCTGGGAAGGAGCCTAAAGCCTTTCAGCCTCTCCTCACAAGTGCCTGCTGTTTCAGAAAAGAGGATTTAAGCATCACCCTGCACATGGGCAGATGACAGCTCTGCAAAGCTGTAACACCTTCACATTCTCCCGAGGTGAGAATTTTGCCTTTCTTTTCTGCTCTGGCAGCATGTGGATAAAAATGATTAATAAATTCCGCTTTAAGATGAAGAGCTTTTAGCACCATTCCAACAGATAAAGCACAGTAGCTCCGTTCCATCCTGTGCAGTGTTAACACAGCGGCGTTTGTGAGAATGATGTTGGGAGAGATTGATGACTATGACTCCCAAAATCTTACCTGATCGGTCTCAAAAATACCACTGCAGAGATGAAACGGAGCTTCTATTGCGCCTGCTGGTTTGTGAAGTTCAGACTTTTACACCAGGATTTCTGCTTTTCTAGCACCATATTTCATTTGAAGGGGCTCACTGCCTCACAGCTGGCTCCGTGTTACTGGAACACGCTGTTGCATTCCTGCTCACACTTCATTTGGGCACAAACACAGCTTTGCTGATTGGTGAGTAGAATGGTATCCATTTTTCGAAAGGAATTTGCACGGATGTAGCAAAAGAAGGAATCTCTGCTTCGTTTAGTAACTGCTTGGCAGTTTTACAAGGCTCCCCTGTATTATTACCGTACTGCTTTGTCCTTATCCAATAGTTCAGTTACTGTTTCCTTCTCTAACTTCAAACAACAGAATCCTATATGATACAAAGGGTGTTACATCCAGCAAAGCTAATTACCAGTGCGAGCTTAGATTGCAATTCAGTGTAGTTTAATTGCCTCTGATTTCCAAATAGGAATTATCTTGCTGAACCCACATGCAGAGACCCGTACTTACCGTTCCCTCAAAACGAGCCCTTCCTGGATCAGCTCCTGCTCCGATGTGTCTGCAACAGGGGAACGACTTCTCCTCTGTCTGTGCGCGCTGCGGAGCCGTCCCCTGCACCAACCCCAGGCCCCCGGTGAGCAGGGAGCGCACTGAGATCTGCCCCCAGCTGTCCTCTGCCTGCCGGGGAGGTGCGCTCCTCCTCTTATACCTGTGCTCCTCTGGAGTCCCGTGGGCTTCTGCGCGTCACAGCATCAATTATCCCCATGGGTTTCAAAGGCTGTGTTTAGCATCCTCTTTTTTGCGTGTGTTCAGGGAGGTTGTGGGGAAGGGGTATGACTATGGCTTAGGGCTGTTTGCATGTCTTTATCATTCAGAGAGGGAAAAGCAAATAACAACAATGATAATCAGGCAGAGTAATTGACAAATTTGCTTTGTAAAGTAAACTTATCTTTCCCTTTGCAATTGCATTTCTTCCTCCTACCCAACAATAAAAGAGAGTTAACCATTAATAGTTCCTCACGCTGCCTACTTGGGGGGGGGGGGGGGGGGGGGGGGTTCTCTTTGCTATTTTCTTTTTCTTTGATTATGAGCGTTTTCCTCCTTCTCCTTTGTCACTCACATCTGCTAGCACCAGCGGGGCAGTTCATGCTTCAGTCCCTCACAAACACAGCAGCTTCACATCGGGCTCACGGCAGCTGGGAAGCCCTGCTCTGCTTGTGTGCTCTGCCAAAAGGCAGATGTCTTCCCTGGAGGGCTGCATGCTGGCAGCTGCTGTCACTGCTGGAGCAAGGAGTGAAAGCCCCCCTTAAAAAGGGCACATACCTGGGGCACTGGGAAGGCTGGGGCCATTCAAAGGAGGTGAAAAGCATGACTTCTGCCTGTTTTCAGTGCTGACTTTACAATGCACAGAACTGATAGAAACCCAGATCTTCCCATCTTGGGACTTGCTCGCCTTGGTGCTGGGTGGAAGTGTCAGCAGTGAGTGACTCATCTCTGCCTACTGCAGGACGCCATCACCTTGCACTCAGCACAGCTGCTGCTGGCAGAGGCCAAGTGCAGGGAAGAGCAATGCAGCTGGAATGTGCAGGAGATTCAAGTGGTCAGTGTTGGTCCAACTCCACTTCCCCTTTGCTTCTTGCAAAGCAATCGGCATTGTCACTGTGGCTTGCTTCTTAGTGGAGCTGTGACTGGAAGGTCTTGATAAGCAGTGGACAGAGAGGTATGAGCGAGCTCAGCATGCCAAATCTACAAAGGATTAAACAACAGCCACTCTGTACCTAGACTGTAACCTCCAGTTTTGACATGCTCTGAGGGCTCACATTCCCTTTGGTGTAAATCAGTGCCAGGCAACTTCCCTAAGAGATCAAGAAGGGTTGAAAGGAGCAAAGCAGGAGCTGGAGTTGGCCCTCAAGTAAGCAGCTGACCAGAGGACTTCCGAGATCATTCAAAAGCAAAACAGCTCCACGAAGAGAAGTGAGAGCTGCTGCTTCCCTTACAGCTGTGAGAAGTGGCATCAGCCTGCCCAGGGGGAGAGGATCTGCTGTAAGACCAGGCAGACAGATGTGCATCATCCTTACTCTGGACACTGGAGAAAGGTATTCTTGGATAGCACAGAGCAGGGTTTTCCAAAACTGCTGTACTGATGCACACTCCTGCGCCCTGTTTCTGCAACTGGAAAAGGATTTTTGTCTGTATTTTTGAAACAATCTGCTCACATTCTCTCATGTGTGAGGCCAGGTGCTCCAATTTTTCAGCGTGGCTTATTTTTCTTCCACTGTCTTGGTGCCACACCGGCTGCACAGATGAATCAGCCCACGCCGTTAAACCAGTTGAGAGCTGATGCTGCTCCAAGATATTATCCTATAGATTGTCTCTGAGCTAATTCTCGATCTGCCTGGCCCACTGCCTTACACAGAGCTGCTGTAAGATACAGGGCAATATCTCTCAGTTCAAAGGGAATCAGTCGATAATTGACTCATTTATAGCTGCCTGCTGCCCACCTTGGGTTATGAGAGCTATAATCTGCATTTGTATCTTAAGTGAGCTGCTGTCAAAGAAGGCCATGTAAAAATCTCTGTGGTGGTAGGCGCTTCCCTGTTCTGCCTGGACTGGGCTTCTGTCGTGCACAGCTGGACCCAAAAAGGCCTCGCAACAAAAAGCTCTTTGTGACCAGGTCAACTGTGGGAGGCAGCAGAATTTTCTAAAAGCCCTCCAGGCTCCATTGGGTAGAAACAGCTTAGGAGTTCCCAAAGTATAAACAGAGCAGCTGGTCTGTCCCCAAGATTTCCTGTCTTGTTGCCTCCCACAATGAATAGCTGCCTTTTGTCCTAGCCCTACATTGGTACAAAGCAACAGTCTATGGCCAAGTACAGGCCACCACGGGTATCTTTTGCTGGATTTTGGAGTCATGTCTGTGTAGATGTGACCATCCCGGGTGAAGCACAGGACAGGTAGCTGTATTTCACTGCTGGTCCTTTGCTGATGAAGGACACAATGTTAGGATCCTGCAGCAATTTCCCAGATATTGATTTCCTCTTCGCTTTACCTCCTCCAGACTGCATGCCACGCTTTAAAAAATCTCCCATCTGTTCCAGGTGCGTAGCACACAGCTCCAGATAAGCTGAGCAGCGTGCAAAGTGGTCCTAACTCACCTTGGGAGGCCGAACATAAGGACAGTAAGAAGTAACCCATCAAATGACAAGAAAGAAAATCATCCCCAGTTCTTCACTGTCAAAAGCGTTTCTGCACTTCTCCAAAATGTCACAAGCAGTGGCTGCTGTCTCCCCGTTCCTTTTAGAACAAAACCAAGTGTTTCCTATGGTTTTCTTTCACTCAAGAAGCGTGGTGGTGACTAGTTTGCCACAAGTGCCCTAACGTTACATTAGATGCCCTGGACTGAGAAGACTGAGTTATATTTTTGGTCTAACTTTGCCACCTTACGGGTAGCATGGTACACATTTTAGTTCAAATGTCTTATCCCACATGGTAGACCAAAGGCACACTATAATTAAGTTACCATCAGTCATTTAATACATTGTCCATTATTCATGAAAACACAGAACTTTTTGTTCCAAACTTCTTTACAAAAATGCAATAATTTCCGTGGCAAGAAAGCAAACAAAATGAGATGAAAAAGACCAGGTTTGATCAGACTTATAATTACTTCTAAGGAAGAAATGGAGAACCCCAAATTGGAAGACTTGCCGTTAGAAAATTATGCAAGTCTTGGCTTCTCCATCTTGAAAGGATAAAATGTTGAGATGTGGATCTTCAGAGCCTCCAAAGCTGACCCTTTGAACAGTAATAGATTTCCTGGGCAGAATTTTCCCTTGAGGAATTCAAATTGGTAGGAACCTCAATACAAACAATTATCAAAATTATCTCCTGAAAAAGGTCCTTCTGGAAGAGATCACAGTTTAGACTATGAAAATGAGTCTGAAGCAGGGGATCAGATTAAAAATAGCGAAAATAATTCCCTAATTCAAAATGTACAAGAATGTGCTATTAGAAAAGACTGTCTCAGAGAGTTAAAAGCCTGCTTGAAAAGCCTACTTAATCTTCAAACATTACCACATCACCCAGACTACAATGGAACAAATGGCATCAGCCTGCAGGATCCTATCTGTCAGAGGCATGATGTGCACTGTGGGTGCAAACCATTTATAGAGCCGGCACCTGTCTGCCTCTGTTTATCTCCTCCAAGAGCAGCAGGAGCATTTCAGCACTGCCCAAGTGAACTGCCGAGCCTTTCAGCCAGATGTCAGTATGTTACAGTCAGCTGAGAGTTACTGGCTCCTCAACTTCTAGCTCTAAATACCAGCTCCTTCCGCTTCCTCACTGGCAAACAGAGCTCAGATGCCAGCAGTGACTGCATCTTCGGTCTACCACTTTCATTTCATTTGGAAAGGAGCCTTGTCTGGAAGGTTACACAGGACAGGACAGTACAACTAAAGTCAAGAAACAAGGGGAGCTGGCGTTAATTCTACCCTTGTCCCTGGTTCGTGGTGCTCAGGTGCACTGAGGTCCCTCGGCTGCTGATGCCTCTCCTGAGGACCCTGTGTTCCAAACACTGATTTGAAAGCTTCTGCTGAAAAAAAAAGGGTTTGAGTAAGATGTGTTACTGATATCGAAAAAGTAAAGTGGTTTACAGAGTGGGAGTGAGGAAGGCTTTGTTTCCGGTAAGGATTGGAAGGGAAAAAAAAAGAAAAAGAAGGAAACAAAAAAAAGAAAAAAGACAAAAAAAAAAAAAAAAAAAGAAAAAGAAAAAAAACAACAACCAGAAGTAATTAGACTCATCTTTTCTTGCATGAATAATAATATACAACCTGAGGATGAAAAGGTATCAGTGCACAAGCTCATGGTGTTTGCGCAGTAAGTGGTCTTGCTACTGAGACTTGTAGGGAATATTGCAATGCAAACCACAGAAGAAAGTTATAAAGATAAAAAAGCTGAGGATGATTTGAATTCAGAGGAAGACTTCACATCTGAGCTCTGTCTGCTTAGAATTATGTGCTGACACAATTGCCATTTCTGCTTGCTGAACCAATGTTAGCTTTGAAACCCACTCAGATTTCAGAGGCTTTGGAAAGTAATTCAACCAGCCTACACCTTCAAATGGCTGTCCTTTTTATCATCTCAAAATCAGTGCAAATGCATGGCTTGGTGTGGAGCAGGGGAAAGGCGTGAAGCTGGAGCGGGCTGATGGCACCACCTGCTTGCAGTTCAAAGGTGGCATCTCTTGCACAGATCCTGGCAATGCTGCCATGTTACATGATCTGCGGGAGGCTGGTGGCGCAGGGATTCGGTAGGAGCAGTAAAAAAGATGAAAGTTGAACATGAAGTTGATTCTTGCCTGTTCAGCTGTTGCTGAAATGCAAGTTTGGCGTCCCTCCTTGTGGTTGGGTCGGAAGACCAAGGCTGTCTTCAGAGCACGTCTGTGAGTCAGGCTGGGAGTTTTTGCTAGCAGGAAGTCGCACCGTCGGAGCGCACGAACGGAATGATGGCTCTCGTTTCCCCCTTGTAGAAAGCAGCCTCCTGGAGAGCAGCAGAGCAGCAGGCTGTCTGCGCTATGGCCGCTGAAGTGCATTTCTCGGCCCCTGAGATCCCTGAGCCCACGCTGATGGAGAACGTGCTGCGCTGCGGCCTCTTCTTTGGAGCCGTTTTCCAGCGTGTGTGCGTGTGGGCCATAATGCTGCCAGTTCCCAAGTGCCCAGAGACAGTAAGTAGCGCTCTGCTTGATAGAGGTTGATAGAAATGCTGAGGAAACGGGCTGGGAGGGAAGCAGCTGGAGCCGTTGCCTACGGTAGCGCGCCGCGGCATTGCTGAGAGTGCGGCAGTTTGTTGTGCCCTTCCTTGGGCGTGCGTGCTGTTCCTGGTGGCACGCAAGGAGCCTGGAGGTGCAAGCTCATCTTCTCGTCGTGCTGCTGCCGCTGCGGCTGCTTCAGTGGGCTGTGAGTGGCAGGCAGGGCGTCCCCCTGTGCAGGGACTGCCTTGCAGGCAAGGCCTGTAGACTGTAGCTTCCGTGGGATTTTTGGGAACAAGAGAGAGGTGGAGTTTCTGTAGTGGCCTGATGCCAGGAAGGCAATGTGCAGCACTGGCGCCCAAAGCTGCCCAGTCAGGTGACTTGAGCTCCCAAAGCGAGCTGTCAGGCAATTGTCAGAAAGTTCCCTGACTGTTTGTGAATTGATTCCTGTAGGACTCGGACGGCTTGGAGTCTAAGACTTGGGAGACGGTGAAGAAACCCAAGGCAAGTGCTGCACAGCTGAGCAAGAAAGCCAAGAAGGAAAGCAAAAAGAAACGGTGAGGGCTTGAGCGCTAAGCCTCGAAGGCCAAAGGGAGCAGCGGGAATGCTTGCTGAGAGGTGCTCCAAAGGCAGCGCACTGTACGCCTGGTTTTGTGGCGTGGCTGTGCTTTCCCTTGCACGGACATTGGAGAGGAGCTGAGGAAGCTGGCAGGGCTTCTGATGCGTGACCAACAAATGGGACTTTGCCTGTGTGGGATTTCATGTCTGGCAAGAGCTGGGGACGCTGCGTTCCTTCAGGGTCCTTCAGCTCGATAGCTGTTTCAGAATGTTGATGATGAGGTGAACTTAGCGCATGTCGCTGGTCACGAGCGGTGTCCAGGCTATTTTACTGTCTGTTGACGTATCTACAAAAGGCAACCCAAATCCCTTCGTTGAAAATAAAAGGGAAAGAAACCTTTTCCACCTGGTGCTGCCTCTTTCAGTAGCTGGTCCAGACATGCCTGGCTTGGGCTGGCAGCGGCAGGGCGCTGAACCGGCCGGCTTCACGTCCCTCCCTGGAGATGGAGCTGCTTTTCCCGCGTTTCCATGCTGGTCTTGCCAAGCGGTGGCCTTTCAGCCAAAGCGTAACTGCTAGCGAAGCCTGTGAGCATCAGCTTGCTCTGTGAGGAGTGAGAGAAACGAAAGGAGAGGAAGCAGCGCGCGAGGAAGAAAGGTGTCCCTGCACTCAGCCCCTTGAGCGTGTCTCTCCAGCTTGCCTGGTGGCTTTTCCAGCCTTCTGTAGCACGGACTGTTCCTGCTTGCCCTGGGAAGGCCAGCTGCACCTGCGGGCAGCCGTGGCCTGCACGTCAGGCTCCGGTTGAGCCGCGAGGAGTTCAAGTGCGGGTGGGCTGGTGTGAAGAGCAGCGCTGGGAGTGGGGCAGGAGGAGAGGGCAGCGGGAGGGCTGCAGGTGAGCGCGCCTGGGGCCCAGAGCTCAGGCGTGAGCCGGGAGGGCAGCGAGCCGTGCTGCTTCAGCTGCTTCAGCTGCAATGGCTTCGAGCGCGTCATGGGCAGCGGCGCGTGTGGAGCGTCTGGGTGCTGCGAGGGCACCTTGCTGAGCCGGAGCCCGAGAGAGGGGAGGGGAGGAGAGCAGAAGCCGCACGTCAAGAGTGTCTGCCTGCCATTTTGGATTGGCGCGTCGGCGTCTTCCTCCTTCCACGAAGGAGCCTGCACGGTGCGCTGGGTCCAGCGTGCTACACGGCCCTGCCTTCTGCTGCCTGCCTGCCTGCCTGCCTGCGTGCTGCACTGCTGGAGAGGAAAGAGCGGATTGTGGGGCTGCGTGCAGCCAAGGAGCTGGCTGCAAAGGAGGGAAACGGAGTATTGAGGAGCGGTTAGTGCGTGTGAGGTTTGGGTGTGGATGCAGCGGGGCTGAGTCGCCTCCATCAGCTCCTCGGGGCTGGGGCCGAGCCCGGTGCGTGGGGCTGCGCTGCGGGCAGGAGGGCTGCGGGGCTGGGGCAGTGGTGTGGGTGCAGCACATGGGGCCGTGAGAGGGCGTGCAGCAGGGAGGGCGTTGGGCAAAACAAATCAGTGTCTTTGAAGAGCACAAAGCGGTGAAGCACAGCACAAGCCATTTATTGCCTGCATAGGTGATCTTCTCCAGGCATGTCCATTGGAGATGTGCAGACTGAGTGTGGACAGAAAGAAACGGAGCGGAGGGGAGTGGAGGGGAGGAGAGGGGAGGGGAGGGGACGACAGTAAGAAATGAAAGGAAAGAGAAAGGGAAATGTGAAGGGGAAGAGAGAAAGAGAAAAGGAAAGGAAGAGAAAAGAGGAGCAAGGCAAAGAAAAGCAAGGCAAAGGAAAGCAAAAGGGGGGAAAGGGAAAAGGCAGAAAAGGAGAAGAAGACAAGTTGCGTGCCGCCGGCGCCACCCGAGGGGAATCCGGCAGCGGACCCCGCCAGCTGCCCGT